AACTGGGACACATGAGAAACAACTTCCTCTCATGTAATGTATATATGAAGGTCTAACAGACAACGCAGCATTGTTATCTGAAAGAGGTTCACTTGAGCGTGACTAGTGCTCTGATATCTCCAGAGACAAAGACCACGCAGATTTCTGTGAGGGGGGGTGGATGTTGGATCACTGCCAAGTCAGACTGATCCACCTGCATCATTTACATCAGCCTGCACTGCAGTCGGCTGTGAGTCGGCTGTGTTACACATTAAATCATCCAGCTTAAGTTATATGACACCAAGAATTTCAGAAGTGTTACATATCCGCCGTCTTCAACGAGACCTCTTATATATGGTACTTATGTACACTTAGAGCTAAAAACCCAATACATAATACTGTCCTGCTATGAAAAGAAAAGAAAAATGGCTTTGCAGAAAGTGTACAGAAAGTGTAAAAAGAAAGGAGGAGTATATAGACATCAGGCTTAGTTGTATTTTTTTCAGCTGTAAAAAGAACTGCTCCAAATTGCTTCCAATGTCGACTCTTCTCTTACCTTTAAGACACACATTGACCATATCATAAAAAAAGGAGATTTTAGTGCTGGTGTTTTATACCGCTCTAAACATTGCTTCACATTAAGTGTTAAAAAGAAACTTATCTCACAACTCATACTACCAATTATTGACTATGCTGACATTGTTTACCAAAATGCATCTAAAACTGATCTCCATCCCCTTAATGTTGTTTATAAAATAGACTCTGCAGGTTGTTCTTTTTTTAACACATCACTGCACAATGTTAGACAGTTTTACAGTTCCCTTTGTTTCAAAGGAAGTTGGTAACAAAGCTTTTATGTTTTGTGCTCCTTCTGATTGAAATAAGTTACCTTTAAATCTCCGTTTCTTGTCATCGTTCCACTTATTTAAACATGTTTTGTTTTCTCATCTTCAAACTGATTGTGTATGTTTTCAGTAACGTCAACTCTGTTTGTTTATTTCTCTGTGTATAGACTGAATCTCTCTCCTCTAAGGTGTTTAGTCTAGAGGTGGTAATGGTTGTAGCTTATTGTTGTATCTGTTCTCTGAGCTGTCCCTTGTTTTTGTTTTGTTTTTTGTGTTTTGTTTTGTTGTTATTGCTGTTGTTTTTTGTTGTATGCATTACTTTGTTTGTTTCGTCTGTAGTGTGTTATGTTTTGGATTTGTATTGTTGTGTTGTACCTTTCTCTTTGTAAATATCTGTTTGGGACTCCCCTTGAAAACGAGGTGATACACCTCAAGGGGCTTATCCTAATATAATACATTTCTCAATGTAACTGAAATGATTCCATTGAGCACAATGCTTAATCAGATCATCCCAAACAAAATGTGTAAACAGAACTTGGTTAACACATTATGTTTGTCTTACACTCCTTGTATTATTTTCTTTATTAGACAGACTTTAGAGGTCGCTAAATAATAAAAGACGGGTATTCAAAGATCTTAATGTCTGCAGAGTTACATTAACTTTGCAAAAAGAAAATGATATCAAACTCAAGACAGTTTAAAAGTGAGAATGAGTCTGTGCATGTTCAAACTCAACATGTTTGTGTCTGTAAACCTTACAGCAGGTTGACTTATTTAATGTGTACCTCATAGCACAGAGGGGAAGGCCCCGTCAAATTAAATGGCTGACTTTCATGGCCTCGGGCCGCTGCAGGCAGACAGAGTCGATCTGGAAAAACAGAGGCACTTAAACTCTAATTAAATATTCATCAGTCACAGAAATTAAATACTTCTTCTCAGGGCGCAGAGGTTCCCATCTGTTTAATTAAGGCAGCTTTAGTCCGCTAAAGGATGATGTTTACGTGTTGTAGGGTTTGTGTGTGTTCCCCAATAATAGTCCCCCCACATACATCATTCACACCCCTCCTGTCTTGTCTCAACCTGAAACCTGGCAGGTTGTGACTGTGCAGAGAAGGGGAATACATTCCTCACATACCATGGAGTCAGGGGACTGGAAGAGCCAATAGGTGGCCAGCTGACTGCCCATTCCCTCCTCCCTGCTACCAATGAGAACAAAAAAAAAGCCCTCTCAGGGGGAAAAAAAAACCTCTGGGAGTCTTTAAATGGGTGATTCACAGAGACAAGGGAGGGGAGCAGGAAGGTGAATACCCCCGAACAAATTGGCCTCAGGTATAGCTGTGAGATAATTCAGGTGAGCCCCTTCCCTAAAAGGCATTACTGGTCTCCTTATTAGATGTATCCCCCCCCACCTTAATTTGGAAAGGCATTTTTAAAAATGGCTTCAGTTAAAACGCTTCAAATGTTAGTCTTAGTCTTATTAGATGTCCAACCAAACCATGGAAAAACTTTATTGCCCTCGTTTATTTGCAGAACAGGGAGTGGAAAGCTTCCGATTCAACTTTCATCCTGGACTCTGTTTGACTCATTCATCCACAAAGAACGGCCACTTGTGCAAGTCACAACGGGTTTATAGGCCTCATTCTTGAATTTTTTCAAACGTACATGCTCTAGCTTTGTTTCAATAATGAGGAACAAGAGCGAGAAACAGCTCTGTGGTGTGGTGGAGTCAGACCAGTTAAGACCAGGGGCCACAAAAGAAGCCAGACAAACACAAGAGGAAACAGACAGGACTGTAAAAAATCAGCCTAAGTCAAACATGGGAAACACCATCAGCACATTGTGATGTGTCTTTAGAGAGTATGTACACAGCTAGGACTGAGCACTGGAGGGCTGGCTTCACTCGAGCCGAGGCTACACAGATATAGGCCACTTGACAGCTGTGATACAGCAAAACAAACGGGTTAGAAAGGTGTCAATCTTTCTCATCAGCCGTGATATTTTGTTTCAGTGATACATTGTGAAAGTAAAATATTGGTTTCAGGTGTGAGAGCTCACTTTACTTTTGATTCACAGGTCACATTCAGGGTGAAAGATCCTCACTTCTACAAATTAAGAAGTGTTTTCACTGATAGAAAATAGTCCGCCAAAAAAGTACACCATGAGGATACATCTGCTAGCCTATTTAATCGATTGCTCATTGACATCATTTCATGATTTCTATGTTTTTAGCCTTGAAAAGAGGACAACACAATGCAACACTGAGGAAGAAAACCACAGACACACAAAAAAACTTTGTGTGATCTATAATTTCTCACTTAAGTTAAAAGAATACTGCGCAAAACCCTTATTTTCTTTCTTGTCCAGCTATTATGTTTGACTGCTAACAATGAAGATACCGGCAGCAGCTGTTTGGGATAAACCTAGCATAAGACTTCATGACATTTACAGTTGTTTTTCTGGTCAAACAATGGAAAATTGGACTACCTTCTATAGTTTTTTATTTCAGCTATGCCTGGTGATGCTAAAATAAGCTATGTAGCTGCTAGCTGTAGTATCATATAGTAAAGTACACATCCAAATTTCTGATGAGATTATTGACCATGGTATGCAGATTATGTGTATTTTGGTATAAGTGCATCTTTAAGACAAAATGGCATCTCATTTGAGTGCTGAAGATATATTCCAATGTAATCGTATAGCGATGTGTAATAAGTGAGCTAAAACCTCTTAGCTAGCTTCAGACTGATAAACATTTTTACAGCCTCCTTGTCACTACAGGCCACCTCATTAACACAGACATGTGGACCCCCTCTAGGGTTGCAGTCTGTGGACGGTGACTATCTCTCTGGAGACGGGGTGATCAAGTGTCATCTGGACACTGAGATCTATATTGTGCATCTGCAGAAATCTCTGTGATGCACACAAATCCAGCACTTTACATTGAGGGTCTTGATGATAGACTTAACATTCAAACACTTCAGCTGTGACGTCACTGAGGAAGTGGGCTCTGGTTTACAATGTTCTTCCTGCATCGGGCTTCAAAGCAGAACGAAGACACAGATAACAGCGAGTTAAGATCACGCTGTGTGATCAAGGATGTGGAAGGATGAGGGGGGCAGCTGTAATTGGCCGAGGGAAATCCTACACTAAACAATGGTACAGTTTGAGGATCTTCATTAAGGAAGCTATAGCCTACAGGAAAAGAAATATGCATCACACACTTGCTTTTCCTTTAAAATAAAACTATTCTTGACAAGCATTTAGACCAGCCTAAATGTTCATCTTTTCTCCACATGAACATTCATGTCTCAGTAATAACAAACATACACAAGTGTTACAGGCTGCTAAACTCTTTCATTGGGAAACACTATACTTGCGCGCTAGCTGGAAGTCATAGCCTCAGGATATAGTTAGTATAGAGATACAGTATGTTACCGCTCTCTGTGCATTAGAAGACAAAGCAGGCGTTATTGTTTCTGGATATTTACAAAGTCACAATTGTGAACACAAAAACTGATCTGAAGTGGCATTTAAAAAATATATATTATTGACTCTTCATGACCTGTAATGACCCTTTAAACACGTGTTCCTGCATTGAACTCGTGTTCACCTGGCACACCTGGAAAGCTTCAAGCTCTACATAGATACATGTTTTAGGAATTGTCAAAATAATGCATTTTGATCAATTAGAGCAGAGTCAAATTACAGAACGACATAAGTAGCTTATAGATAACATACGGTTAAGTTTATTTAAAAAAATAAATGTCCATATAAACGTTCGTTTATTACAGCTTTTCACACGTTTACTTAATTAGAAGACACAAGCCTGCATTAACGTCCAAACCTCTCCGGTTACTTTTAACAGGTGGTTTCCTTGAGAGGAACTACACGCAGCGAAACAGAAGTTTGTGATACGAATGGATGCGTTTAACAACTCGGGGAAGTTCATAAAGTATCTACAGGTGTTAACACGCAGTACTAACCTACTGCAAAGCTTTACCGCCGGTGGGTTTTACGCAGTACGCGTCTCTGAGGCGGATCAAATGGTTGTTTTTCCTAACGCCTCCTGGTCCAAGGCAGGTGCTACAGCCGGTTTGAATGCGGACCTTGTTTTTAACCCCTAAATGAAAAAAGGAACTAGAACATTTTCTCCTAAATGCAAAGCTGGTAACTTACAAATACTGTGCTGTCCCCTCTGTCTGATGATGTAGAGCAACTGAGAATCCGAATAAGCTCCCTTTGGTTTGCCCTTGTTTGATCACAGGAAACCGTTCATCGATATTAAATCCACTGCAGGTTTGAGTCCAGTGGCACGAGGCCAAAACAGCGCAGAGGAAAAGTTTTGGAGACATGTTTTTGGTTATCCAGCAGATCCACGATCGGCGTGGGCACTATAAATCTCCAGCGATGAGCTCCGACAGGTAGGCTTTGCGCTTCACAGAGACCTCCCCATTGAGAGCCGTCAGAGCTAAACTGGAGCAAGGTGTCGGTGTCTGCCTCCCTCTGACTCTCTCTCTGCCGCCCTCCCCTGATCTCCCTTCCTTCCTCTCTGCCCTCCACACCCATTTGAAACAAGTGCATTCACACACTGCACACTGCACCTCCATCTCTCGCCCTGTACCTCCTCCCCGTGTCTGTTTCGCTATTTTGCATGCAAAGTTCTGTTTACACCGTGTCAAGTCCTCCAAGAAAAGAGACTGCAATTGTTAAAATTTTAAAACAACATTTCGAGAATAACGTAAATGCTGTGGCTCTTTTGTATGCAACATGTAGGTAGACTAAATGTCTTCATGTTTTTGGAAAGGTTTTAGTCATGCCTTTTAAAACTCCCTAATTTAAGTTATAACAACGATTCTTCCCTAGTTCCTTTGTTATTTAAATCAAATTCTTATGAGCAGTTAAATAAGCTTAGAAACAGAGATTCTCTTTACTACTTGTCTTTTCTTTTAGAGAATAAAGAGTATAGTTAAAAATACTATACACGATATGAGACAAAGTTGAATTGTTCCATGGTATTAATGTTTCTGTTAAAGGGATATTTTACCCATCTGCATTCATCTTTGTATTATTAGAAACCTGGTAGTATTTTTAAATGGTCGTGCATCCCGCCCTCATTTTCCCCTGAGATGGGAAATCTTTGTATTTCTGAGTCTGAAAAGAAGCTTCCAGTGACGCAAAATGACAATTTTTGCGTCACTGGAAGCTGTTGTGGTTAGGGTGAAACTACATTGTAGTTCCTCATACTTTCGACCACAGCTACAGCTGACCAAAGTGCTGTACATTACATTAAAAAAGAAAAAACAACTTCAGATCACAACGTCCACAAGATAAAAAAATATATATGTATACATATAAACAAATATAAAGAAAGAATATATAAAGAAAGCAACAAAATAAAGAAAGCAACAAAATAAAGAAAGCAACAAAGGAACCTGAAAGAAATGGTCTATTCAGGACCAGGGGACTCAAATGCTAAACTATAAAAGTATGTCTTGAGATAGGACTTAAAAGAGTCAACAGAGGGTGCAGACCTGATAGAATGAGGGAGGCTGTTCCACAGTATAGGGGCTTTTACTGAAAAGGCCCTTTCTCCCTTTAGTTTGAGCCATGAGCGGGGAACAGCCAGGAGGCCCTTGTCTGATGATCTCAGGCGCCTAGATAAGGTGTACGGCCTGAGGAGGTCGGTAATATAAAGGGGGGCCAGGCCATTCAGGGCTTTAAAAACAAACAACACACTCTTAAAATCGATTCTGAATCTTATTGGGAGCCAATGAAGGGACGCTAGGACAGGACTGATATGCTCCCTCTTCTTGGTTCCAGTCAACAGCCTTGCTGCAGCATTTTGGACCAGCTGCAGACGGGACAGGGACGACTGGCTTATCCCGGTATATAAAGAATTGCAGTAGTCAAGCCGGGATGAAATGAGCGCATGGGTTACTGTCTGTAAGTCACTGAATGAGAGGATAGGTTTTAGCTTGGAAATTGTAGGAGCTAAAAGAAACCGGATTTGACAACTGTATTTACCTGTGGATCAAATGTAAAGCCTGAGTCGAAGATAAAGCCAAGGTCCCTGGCGTGGGGCCTAATGTGGCTGTATAAGTGACCTAAACTGTTGGAGACCTGTTTGATGATGTCGGGGGGGCCAAAAAGAACAGCTTCAGTTTTTGACTCATTTAATTGTAGGAAGTTATCAGCCATCCAGTGTTTTATGTCTTCAAGGCATTGTGTAAGAGAGGTGAGTTCTGCGAGATTGTTTGGTTTGACCGGTAGATAAAGCTGAGTGTCATCTGCGTAGAAGTGGTATGAGAGGTTGTGCTTCTGGATAATCTGACCCAATGGGAGCATGTAGAGGGCCTAGGATGGATCCCTGTGGTATCCCACAGCTCAGACCAGATTGGGAGGATGTGGCGTTGGTTAAGTTTACAGAGAAGGTTCTGTTGTTCAGGTATGACGTAAACCAAGTCAGGGCTGTGCCCCCAACACCAACCCAGGCAGGCAATTAATTAAAATTGTGTGGTCGACAGTGTCGAATGCTGCAGTAAGGTCCAGTAAGATCAATCACAGATCAGTGGGTGGGAACTCACTCCCAGAATCTAAACTTAACCACCGCCATCTTGCTTGGAAGCGATGTTAAGAGGCTCTATGGAGAAAGCTGATAATGGCGAAAAAATATAAATATAGCGGCGAGACGGCTGCTGCCGACAGGCCAGTCTTGTGTTTTGGCTGCTGCAGCCGGTGTTCGCCGGGGCCGCCGCTAGCAGCTAGCAACACCAGACCGGCCTGTATGGCCGGCCTGCAGCAAACGTCTCGCGGCTATATTGCTGCCAGCTCAGCAGCGGAGACATAATGCCTGCCTGTGGAGGCAGGCAGGCACGAGGAGCCCGGGCCGGCTTGAGCTGGGGCGGACTAGTGTCCGTGCTCTCACCGTTTGCCTATGGACACAGACATAGAGTCTGTTTTCTGCCAGGAATTTCCAAGATCAATTCAGGAAGAAATCTGCTATACTGTATATTTTGGAGAAACTGTAACGATCGAATTTCCCTCTGGGATTAATAAAATATTTTTGATTCTGAACTAGAGGACCTTAGTGGGAGTGGCCACATGAGCCTAAAATACACTTTCTGTCTTTTCTCGGCCAAAAAGGCACCAACTTCAAAATGTATTTCACATTTCTACTACATATATGACCAAATGTAAATACAGGTTCATGTTTCAACCTATGGTTTCAACAGGTGAAGTATCCCTTTAAGTCTGTTATTAAATAAATATTGCGAGGTGTATAAAGAGTATATATAAAGAGGTGTGCTGTGTAAATATCAGGAAAGTAATCAGAAATAGAGTTTGCAGATCCATAACTTCTCTGTAACTGGACAAACTGCAACACACGCTTTGCACTCATTCTTTGTTTAACATATAGAACACCTGAAGACAAGTAATACACATGGTCCAAAAGCTGTTGCACTGTATCCCCATACTCATGTCGTGTCTCTTGTCCAATCAAATAACTTGGTTTGAACTAACGTTTGTATTATAAAAAATGATTTGAAAAATGTTGCACTCCAAACCTACAAGATTACTTTTCCAGGCGAACCAGATGGATAAATGGATGAATTATCTGTGTTGTAATTAGTTAAGCTCAATGCAGAGTATTTGTTTTTATTTAGAAGGAACTATATTTTGAGATTCACAGCCCACTTACAGACACATGGCCCACCCTCACATGAGCACTCTTGTGACAGCCACTCTCTGCCTTGCTCCACCGCCTTTATCGTTCAAACTTCTGGCATCCAACAAGCCGTCTTAATCCATAATCCCCTTAGAGAGTTCATGAAACAGGTCAGACTTTTTTTTAAAGATTCCTTTCCTTGAACCCCCCCCTCCAACATATCTCCCCTTTTTCTCAACAACAACACCCCTGTGTCAAGAGACCAACTTCGTCTGGATCTCCTCTCTCTCTCTCTCTCTTTTTCTCTCTCTCTTTTAAAATCTCTGCGTCAAAGTGCGACCTTTCATGAGATCTACTTTATTAGCCGACTCCCTGCTCAAATCTGGCACCGCTGACCTCTTCTAATTGATGAACTGAGCTCCCACTGTGTATCTCCTCACTTTCCTGGAGTTTCTGTCCCCAAGAGAGGTAATGCCTCCTCCAATCAGAGTGACATCATTCCTCATGGGGAGTAAACTGTTCATGTTCCACAGGCCAACTGGGAAAGCTAGGACATGGACAAATTAAAATACAACAGTTTTACACAAAATATTGATTTTTTATTAGATTTAAAATGTCTATAATTTTTCTGCTAAACAAATAGTCTGTTGGTATCTGCAGTAAAGGCCGTTTCCATAGCAACAGTTAACTAAGTAGCCTTCTTAAAACGACATAAACCTACTAGACTCAAATCAATCTTAAAATGAACTAAGCTAGTTATTGCTCACATTAAAACTGATCATTTCCACTGTTTGGCTAAATTCAACAACCCTGGTATGCACATTTGGAACTTTGTTTCTAAAGTTAATCCAGAATTAACCTCTGTTTTGTGTCACATAATCCAGCAAGTGAATGCCTCAATGCTCAAAGGTGAGCGTACAATACAACATGGCAATGTATACAGTGTCAACATCCGGTTGTTGCCTTATCAAAGCATGCATCAGGTATGGCAACCTACGCTAAACAGATCATGGTGATCATGAAAATAAAGACCCACTCAACCGCCCTGACTTGATTCAAGAAAAACGTCCTGAGAGAGAAATTTACAGGGAGTAATTCACATCGACAAACTGCAGTAGAGCAGCAATCTAACCTCCTCTATTATTTTACTCCAAGTACCAATTTTAATGTGTTCTGCAAAAAAGATTTAGGGAGCAACTGATCCTTCACCCCCTGGGTCTTAGTCCCGCCCTTTTCACATCTGGAAAGTGTCACTCTTGAAAAGTGACAGCTGATACTGACATTCTTTATTCCTCTTTACTTTCAGAAAAAAGATACACTTGTATGAGGTGAATAATTGCACTGACAGCAAGCTGTAAATCACTGTACAGCTGTCTCTTTAGTTATACTAAAGATGCTTTAAATTATGATTTAAGAAGTCAAAACAGTATCTGATAACTTGAGTCAAACTCAAGTCAAACTCAAGTCAAACTCAAGTCAAACTCAGCAGTTCAGCATTTTTTTGAAACTCAGCAGTTCAGTATTTTTTTTTTTTTAAGTTCCTAGCTTTTCAATGTGAATACCCCTCACAAAACTGTAAGCCAACACCAGCCTCTGTGTGAACCACGGGGACAAAGAATTGAATGAAGTTACTGCTGTCCACAGAGTCCTTTTCTCTAAAACCCTCCAGTCTAAGCCCACACAACACACATGGGATGTAATTTGCAATTTATCTCCCAGTTTCCTGTTTTTTTCTTCACCAAACCCACCACCACTCCCCCCCCCTCCACAAATAATGTAACCCTTCCTTCTATAAGTCTTCAAATGTTCTATCTGCCTCATAAAAGCCATATTATTGAGGAGGATGAATCTACATACTTAAAAGATCTTCCTGCTACTTTCCTGCTGCTTTGTGG